TGTCATCTTGAGCTGCTGGGGCAGGGGAAGGACCAGGCCGAGTGTTGGGTGGGGGTGGGGGCGGGCGACCATGTCCACCCCTCCCCCCAGGGGCCAGCTGAGGCTTCTGGTTGCTCATGCGTCCCAGGGAGGCTCTTCAGGAATGCGGAGAGACCACATCTGGCTGGGCGGTGCTGCCGCCGCCCCCTCCTGGCCACCAGCCTCACGCGAGTGCTTGCTCTGCTAAGATGGTGGCCCAGGCCCGGCTCTCAGCTGCAGAGTCCTTTTGTGCGGTCATTTCCTCTCCCCGCACTCTTTGTCCTGACACCCCTGCCTCGCCTGCCCGCAGGGCTGTGGGAAGTGGGAAAGGGAAGGCTTCTCCTTCTCCCTGCCTGCTTCCTGCCCTGGCCGTCCCTCCCCCTGGCCTGGCGTCCCCTGGGAGAGGCTGTGGAGCCACGTGGACCAGCCGAGAGCAGGGGCTGTGCCGGGAACTGGGAGCCCCCGGGCTGGGACGGTGCAGGCTAAGGACGCCCCAGGGAAAGGGGCTCTGGCTTGGGAGGGGTGAGCAGGGGGCTGGATTCCTTCATCCATCCAATCCATGCGGTAAATGTCCGACTCCTGAGCACAGGGTGGTAATCATAACCGGTTCTCTGGATGGTGGGAGGGCTGAGACCCGGCTCCTCCTTTATGCGCTTACCCACCCGCACCAGGATCTCACCCCTGGTTTCCTCCCTGTCCCTCCTCTTTGCCTGAGACCCCCCGAGCTGGTGCCAGCCCCTGGCGATGGTGGGACAGACAAAGGTGACTGCCTGCGGGAGCCCATCGCTGTCCCTGGCGCTGTGGGGCCGGCTCCTTTGAGTGAGAGCTGTGCGCCATGGGACACCACGGCCGAGCCGCCTGGGAGGACAAGATCAGGGGGCCCTGCGATCTGGGGCCCGACGCCTCAAGCTGGTGGAGCTGGAGGAGGGAAAACAATTGCAGTCGATGCCAGGACTGGGGAAGAGATGCCATTTGAGACAAGCGGGGAGAAGGGATAGAGTTTCAGGAGGCCGAGGAGGGAGGGGAAGGGGAAATGGGCCGCCTGACCTCCGAGCCTCTGCTTCCTCATCTGCAGAATGGAGACCGTCCTTAGGGGAGGAGTCGGTGACATTTTATATACACAGGTGTGGACGCCTCACATGGTGAACAGCCTCGAGAAGGTGACCAACAAGTGTCCTTCTCTCACCCAGCGCTTGAAGGGAGAAGGTCAGGGTGGGCAGGGGAGACGCTCAGTGGTTCAGGCCATCTCCGCTCTGGCTTGAGTCATCCGTAGGCTTTGGGCTTTCATATTCCCACCTGTAAAATGGGTACAGGGTAGCTTCATAGCCCACTGCGTTGAGGCAGTGGGATCGAGCAGATGTATTAATATTTAAAAGGCCTGGGCACCCCACAGAGAGAGTTGGCGTGTGTATGTCACCCCAGTTTCCTCCAGTGACAGACCCTTCAGTATCATGGGGTCCTTTGAACAGGAAAGACCCCTCCCCAGCCAACAGAACAGCCCCTGGACTGCTGGAGAAACACGAGGAAACTGCCTCTGTGCCCCCAAGGTGGTCTCTAAGCTCACCCCAGCCTGCCTTCCCCTTTCAGCCTCACAGGGCCCAGGAGTGGGATTTGGCCAAATCAGGCTCTGCCATTTCCTAGCAGTGGTGACTTTGGGCGAGTCGTGCGCTCGGCTGTGGGCTGGGGCTGAGAGTAGGGACGGCACAGGCCGCGAGGAAACGCCATCCACCAAAGCCTGACCCACAGCAGGTGCACTCGCATCTTGGTGGCAGACGGCTCCTGGCCTGTGCCTTCCTGCTGGCCTCTGTGTGTTTGCCGATCCCTCGGCCCGGAGCTCCCTCCCCACCGAAGTCTTACTCTCGTGGATAGACCCGGGGCAGGGGCTGGGATTGTACGGGGAAGCAGGTAACTGAGCCAGCAGCCTGGTTAACCGGCTTCCAGCCAGGCTGAGCGCTCCCTTGCTCGGGGCTGAATGGCAGCAGGTGCGGGCGTCTTGGGTACCACGAGAAACACGTTGCCCACCTGGCCCTTCGCCCCAGTCAGTCAGAGCGGCTGAAGGGCAGAGCTTTTCTGCTCTGTCAACACTGGAGCCAGCTGAGCCAGGCTTTCCCACTGCCGCTCAGAGGGACGTCAGTGCGGGCAGCGGGCTCTTGTCTGTCAAGCCAGCTGCTGTCCACATGCGGGGCCTGTCCTCGACCCCCGGGACCAGGCGAGCCAGCTGGCCACCCAGCCCGGCTTTGGAAAGAAAAGGCTCGTGAAATCATTTGTGCAAGCTCATCCTCTGGGGTGAGCTTAGGAAACATGATCAAGGTGTGGGGCGGGAGGGGAGGGGGTGAAGGTGGAGGGACTGGACTGTGTGGCCTCCCAGAGCCTGGCCACTCAAAGTGCCATCTGTGACTAGCACCCCCAGGGAGCTGACTGCCCCACCCTAGGCCTGCTGAGTGAAGGTCTGCATGTTAACAAGCCCCCTTCATCTGCAAAGGCGATTCGTGTGCACATTCTAGTTTGAGACTCGCTGCTTTGGAGAGTGCACTAGGTTTGAGTCCCAGGCTCCGTGCTTACTAGCTGTGTGACCTAAGACAAGTTACTTCACCTCTCTGAACCTCAGTTCCCTCATCTACAAAATGGGCTTGGTTAAAAAATCCCCCCCCCCCCACCAGAGGTTTAATAATTCAGGTGAAAGCCGATGGTGTAGGTGTACAAGGCAGTGAGCCCGGTGCGTGGGACCCAGGCTGGGGTGCTGCTGCCATTGCTGTCACTGTGTCTGGAGAGCCAAAGATATGGGCATGTACCCTCAGCCTGGGTGGATTTTGGGCAAGTCACTTGCCCTCCCTGGGCCTCATTTTCTCCGTCTGTACAATGGGACTTTGACCCCTGCCCCGCCTTCCTTGTGAGATGGTTGCTTGAAGAAAAGGTGTGGAGTGTCGTGCCTAGTTCTGGAGAGTGGGGGATGTGTCAGCAAGATGCCCCTGGGTGCCTGAGTCCAAGGGAGAGGATGTGGCTTTCTGCACCCCTCGCTGCCCCTCCTCTGCTGCTCCTGCTGTTAGGACGCGGTGGGGGGCTGGGCCCAGAAGCCAGGCGGAGGCCAGAGCCACGCTGCGCTCTCCTTGCACCCGCTCTGCTCAGTGGCCTTGGAACCGCGTCCCCTTCCCCCTTCAGAGCAGCGTGGCCAGGAGAGATGATTCAGCTCAGGACCTGTGTCCGGGGCCTTTACCTCCCTCGAGGGAGGCCCCAGATGCTCCATGCTGCTGGGTGGGGGCGGGTGGCTGGCACTTCTCCCCACTTAGAATTCCTGTCCCCAGCATTGGGCCCGTCCTCATCGAGAGGTGGCCTGGGGCTGGCCGCTTAGCCTTGCTGCTGATGTACTGGGTCACCTTGGGCTTGTCTACTCTGGGCCTCAGTTTCCCTACCTGTGCAATGACAGGGTTCCAGTGAGATGGCCCTGCCTGGGTCCCTTACACCGTCTGCCTGGCCCTCCTTAGCTCCCTCTGTGTCCGCCAGCCCTGGCAGGAGCCCCACCCCTTGCCCTCGAGGTCCAGACCCTGGAGCCCACGGGCCTGCAGCTAGCATCAGGCTGGTAAAGGCGGAGAGCACTGGGAAGCGAGCACGCCTGTGTCCTCCGGGAACCCTGGCTAGGGCCCTCTCGTCTGGGAGAGGGGAGGAATTTTCCTCTTTGTGTGCAAACAGTATCCGTTTTCTCTTGTTTCCAAAAGCTGGTGATGTAACCTTCTCTTTGTCCCTCCCTCCCCTCTGGCCTATTTTTAGCCAGCCCTGACAGCATCCTAAAAGGCTCCAGACCGCCCTGCTCGGAGGCCATTGGGGGAGGGCAGCAGTGGGGCGAGGAGGGAGAGGAGCTCCTCTGTCTGTCCCAGGGTGGAGGGAGAGAAGGAACCTGCCCCCAGCTTCCTCGGGGGAGGCAGGGACTCTGTGTTGGGGGCGGGGTTGGGGCCTTCAGGCTTTGGTGGTGCCTAGATCCGCGGGGAGCTCCGCAAGGGGATTCCTCGCCGCCATCTCTCTGTCCGGGAGCCTCCCCACCTGGGTTTGAGTCCTGGCTCCGCCTTTCCCCACCCTGACCTTGGGCCTGTGCCTCTGCCTTTCTTTTCCACCTGTACATGGCATATGACAGTACCCACGCCACGAGGTCGTTACGAGGATTGAAGTGCTTCGTGTAGAACAGGCCTGGTACAAAGTCAGCCTCAGTAAAGGTGTTGCTGGTGTTTATCCTTTCCTGCCAAGCTTCAACCAACTCGAGCATGAATGAAACGATACGTGGAAAGCCCCTGGAGTGGGGCCTGGCACCTGATAAATGCTGAAGAAGTGAGAACTGTGTTTTGGAGGATTTCTTTTAATGTAATAAAACAGACCTGGGTTTGAACTTCAACTCCACCCACTGACAAGCTGTGTGTCTTTGGGCAAGCCATTTAAGCTCTCTGAGCCTCAGTTTCCACATCTGTAAAATGGGATGATAACACCTATGTTGGAGATTTCTGTGTTGGTTAGGGTAGGCTGCAGGACAAATAGATTCTAAGATTGCTTAGCACAATAGAGGTTTGTTTCTTGTGAGTGTAAAGAAGAGGCCGAGGGTAGAGCTGGATACAGCCTGGCTCCTAAGGGCCATTTTTGCAAGCACATCTTGCAGCAACAGCAGGAGCAATAGCACTTGCACGGCACTTTGCAGTTCGCACGAAGGCAGGGTAGGGTGGTGGTCCCTCCTGCCTTTGTCTCCCCACAGTGCTGGGCTCATGCCTTGAGTGTGGCACTTGTCACCACCACCTGGTATTCTGGTTATAGGTCAGAGCGGCTGTCCTCTGACACCCCCCCCTGCCAGGTTGGGAGCTCCTGGAGGGCAGGGAGGGATGGATTCACCAGGGCACCTTCCTCTCCCAGCCCAGGGATAGACCCAGGGTGGGTGCTGGCGTTGTGTCTGAGGCCTGGACTGGGGGAGCCCACCGTCTGACCACCTGTCCTTTTGGCTTTTGCAGATGGGAGGAGGAGCTGGCCAAGCGCATGAACCTTCAGACCATGGTGGACACGCTGCAGGAGGTAAGAGCCCGCGGAGGTCCCGACCAGGAGAGCACGTGGGAGAGCCATGTGGTCGAGGGACACAGTCTTCATGGGGCACAGCCCATACTCAAGCAGTGTGACCTGCTGCTGCCTCAGTCTCTCCTCTGTGGAGCCAAGAGGTCTCTTCAGCTTCCTCTGCTTTGAGGCGAGGAACAGACCGGCACAGTGTTGCAGAAAAGCTCAGATTCGGGAGTTGGGAAGCCTGGGTCCAAGTCCTGGAGCTGCCCCCAGCTTGCTGGGCGACCTGGGGCCAGTGACTCCTCCCTCCGGCCTCTGGCTCCCCACTCGAGGCTGGGACTAGTGGGTCTTTAAGCCCCCCATCTTGCAGTGCCCTGAGTTGGGGCTGAATGCCTTGGAGAGGGGGTAGGATGTCACCAAGGGGGCTCCCAGCCCAAGCAGGCTCCCCACGTGGACGCTGAGGACATCCCCCTCGCCGCGCTAGCTGCTGTCTCCGCATTCTGGGCTCTGCTCCTCACCTGCCTGCGGTGTCCCCTGAGTGGCAAACTTTATCTTCTCAGCCTCTATTTTCCTCTCAGTCAAATGGGAACAAGAGCAGCAACTCCATAAGAAGGCATGAAAAGTTCTTTCAAAAATTTTTAAAAATGGCTTTTGGAAAAGCATGAACGTCTCTCCCTTTTTTTTAATAACAGAAGTATTTTTTTTTTTCCTTTTTAAACAAACATAATGTGTTCATGGTCAAATATTTGGAAAATTCAGAAAAACACACAAAAAAATACTTCCAGTGCCATCCTGCCACGGTTGACAAGCTGGTGTGCGGCCGTCCAGTCTTTTCTACGCAGACACACGCCCACAGCCACCGCTGCACTCTCTGGATGCACACGTTAGGCCGGGACACGTGACATTGTCATTTTGAAACCAGAGGTGGTCAGTATTGGCAATTTCACGTAGACCGGCCTAATATCTCAATGGTTGGGACAGCGCGTTGCCTTACCCTGCTCTTTTTCTCTTAACATCTGCCGTGGGTTTTTCCACGCGATAAACCATCCTTTGAAAAGTGTTCTGAGCGTTCATCGGGGCTCAGCGGGAAGCCAGGCTGGGGTGAGGTCCTTGGTGCCCCTCCCCTGGCACGCGGGCACCCAGCCTGGTCGGACGTCGGGTGCCCGGGGCCCTGGACCCAGCCGTCCAGTCCCTTCTTTCCCCGGGGCGCCCCTCTGAAGCCTCCCCATCTCCGTCCCCGCAGGCGGCGCAGGAGGCTGACGCCATCCAGGAGGAAATGAACGAGAAGATCGAGCGGCTTAAGGCCGAGCTGGTGGTGTTTAAGGGGCTCATGAGTGACGTAAGTGCCGCCGCCGCCGCCCGGGCGTCACGATCCCCCACAGCCATCATGCAGAATGCTTCATTCACTCCGAGGCTCTGAGCTGGCTTCTAGTTAGAGTCCTGGCTGGCTGCGTTTGACCGTGAGGATGACAGATGCATCGGAGACCAGGCGCCCCCTCCCGCCCCTCCCCACTCTCGCTTCCTCGGTCTGAGTAGAGATGCATTAATCTGCCGCTTAACCCATCCCGCCCTCCGGGCTCCCCGACGGTCCGTGTGTGTTTGCTCTGACTCCTTCCCAGCTGGCGTGAGGAGGGCAGGCTGCGGTGTGTGTCTGGGCACAGGGGACGCTGGCGGGTCAGGGCCTGTGCGGTCTGGTCAGTGCCGGCCTGAGAGGCGCCCGGGCCCAGCAGCCTTCGGCAGGGTTGCATTGCGAGGTCAGGAAAGGCCAGTGTGCGTGTCCTTTGGACAATCGGGGGCCCCTTGGAGTAAGCGTGGGTGGGGGGAGCTGTTGACAGCAAAGGCCTCCTTGCTGCTGGGGACGCGGGTGTCCTGCCGCCTTCAGGCAGTGGGCAGTGCGACTCCCCACTGCCAGCGTGGCAGGAACCAGGAGAGAGAGCCGCCTTGGCAGGCGCTGCTGCCTGGGGACAGGTGGGGCTGACGGTGGAGAAGGGATGGATGTCTTTCAACAGCAGGGGCTGTCGTTCTTTTTTCTTTGCTCTAACAAAGTGAACTCTGACCCTGTGTCTGCCGGGAGGATGCCTCCTAGCCGTTAGAGAGACCAGCACACACGGTCTCACGTTGTCCACAAGGCAGGCGCCGAAGCCCCGACCCCCAGACCCCCCAGCCCTTCCCCATCCCGAGCAGCGCGGACACAGCCCTCCACTCCCAGGAAAAGCCCGAGGCTCCCTCAGGCTCTGGGGGCCTCCCCCCACTGCTGCCAACACCTAGGGGTCCCCACCTCTCTGCCCCGCCCCCAGGCTTGCTCCGTCCCCTTGCTCACGTAACCCCTGCTGATCTCCCTGCAGCCCATGACAGACCTGGACACAAAGATTCAAGAAAAGGCCATGAAGGTGGACATGGACATCTGCCGCCGAATCGATATCACAGCCAAGCTGTGCGATGTCGCACAGCAGCGGAACTCGGAAGACGTGTCCAAGATCTTCCAGGTGACTAGGGCCACCCTGCTCACCAGCCGCCCCCTTCTCCCCCCTAGAGCAGCCCTGGCCTCCACCCCTGCCTGGCCAGCCCGATTTCCCTCGACATCCCACTCACTCCCCTTCCCCGAGAGGTGGCACTGCCCCCGAGCCTCTGGCCTCCCCAGGAAAGCGTAGAGTCAGGGACTCATGGACTCGTAGGCCTGTCTGACCCCGCCGTCAAGTCCGACCGCTTCCTCCTGTGGCTGCAGGGCCCAGGGCCTGGGGAGGAGCTGCGATGTGCTCAGGAAGGCAGCGGCAGAGCTGGGCCAGAGCTCAGGTCTGACCCGCCAGGGCTGGGTCCACCGGCCACACTGTGTCCACCGCCCCGATTCCTGCCTCTTCCTCTGGGTGCCGGCACTGGGCATCGTCCTCACGGCTGGGGAGCCCTGGCCAGGCTGTGGGGAGAACTGGGGGAGCTGGCCTGAGCCCTGGCAGGTGGGCCTCAAAACCCAGGGGAGGAGCTATTGGCCTTTGACTATTTTTCATTCCCCCCCCAAAGAGGCTCTCGCTACCCCCCCGGCCTAACGTGCAAGTGTGGGTGCCCCCGAGAGACGGCGATCAGGTTAGCGCCAGTGAGGCTGTCCTCCGGAGAGGGCTTGGGAGGTAGTCCGGCTGAATGAGGCACATGTCATTCTCCAAAGGCTGCTTCTTGAGTTCTGGGTCGTGTTTTGGCTTTTGCTTGAGCCCAGGGCAAAACGGTGTGTTGTTGCTTCACGTGTGTGACTTTGGACGTAGCTGGGCCAGGTCTGGGCCTCCGGGGGCTCTCTCCACCTCCATGCCTTCTTGCTGCCCCTGTGCTGGGAAGCAGGGAGACCGACGCAGCCGCCGTTTGCTCGTGTCTTGTCTGCTGGGCGTGGAAGCTTGGTGAACCTTGGGCTGCCCCTCCGTGGCCTTTGCATGTGAGCAGGAGGGCTCTGGGCAGCATGGAGCCATTCTGGCCTTTGTCAGGGGTTCTCCATCTCTCCAGCTGGCTCTGAGACATCCCAGGTGACTCTGTGCCCTAGTCTGGCCTGCTCCTCTCCCCACATCTTGGGGTTGCTTCTCTGGTGAAGGGCGAGCTGCGGGGCCCAAGCACCGGGCCGCCCGGGGCAGGGGAGGGTCCAGGCCGCCCATGTCCTCACCTGCATGTCTCCCACCTCATGCTTCCCGCTAACGCCGCCTGCTTCTTAGAGGACCTGCGCACCTTTCCCGGCAGGGGCTGGCCCCCCCACGCTCATCCATCCCGTGGGATGCCGGCTCCCTCCCAGTCCACGCCTCCCCGCCCTCCCCGCCGAGCCCTCCAGCCACCCTGATTGCTTGCTTTCTGGTTCAGGTGGTCCCCAAAAAGAAAGAGCGCAAGGTGGCTTCAGATGATGACATCTCCGAGCAGGACGGAGAGGCGAACCGGTTCTCGGATGATGAGGTGGGCTCCATGAACATCACAGACGAGATGAAACGCATGTTCAACCAGCTGTGAGTATCCTGGTGGCAAACTGGGGGCCTGGGCTGAGTAGCCAGGAGCACGATGTTCTGGAATAATTTGGATTCATTTTCAACATTTATGATTTGGGAAGTTGCCTATTTTCAGCTTCTCTTGGGCAGGACAGTGGCTGCCGGATCGGAACAGGCTTTCTGTTACCTGTCTACCTTTCTCTTCGCTTTCCTTTGCAAAGAGACCCCAGAACGGGGATGGGAGGAGGGAGTTGCTTCAGCTGGGGAGGGGGCTGTTCTTGCCCATGAGATGCAGGGCCTAGGCTGTCCCCGCCTGGTCACGTGTAGAAGTGTCTGTCTGATAACGTCATCAACCCAGAAAGGGCAGTGACAGTAGGGGTCTTACCCGTGGACTATTCTTGATCAGACCTTAGACAGACCCACCCTCACCAGTGTCCCTTTGGTGGGTGGCAGAGCTGACCATACACGTCATAGGGAAGGCTCCTGCCATTCATACCCGGGGAGTGTCACAAACATCACTTCGCTGACTCCGGTCGCTCACCCTGGGAGTAGGGGGATCACTGCTCTTCTGTAGACGGGGAAACTGAGCTTCTGAGGGGGGAAGTGACTTGGTCAAAGCCACTCAGCTGACACGCTGCCAAGCTGGGGTTCAGAGCCAGGCCCGACTGTCACTGTGAAATGCCGCTGGGGGTAATGGCAGAGTCTGGGCTGGGTGTAGCCAAGTGGTGGCCAGAGCCGGCTGGTAGCAGCTCTCGAAGCTGCTGGTGTGCCTGTCTGCCCACTCCAGGTTCAGCAGCTTAAATTTGCCATTGTAGGAAATGAGCAAATGACCCCAGTCAGAGCTGCCCTCGTGCACCCCTGCAGAGGGCTGGCGTGCCAGTCCCTCGCTGGGTGTAGCTGGCCTGGAGCAGGGATGGCATTATGGCCTCGGCTAGTCAGTGCCATAATCTCCATCCAGATCCATCTTTAATCCACAGTGCCCTACTGTGGGACGGGGAGGGGCGGGGACAGGTGCAGCTGCAGCCACTGGATGACTTGCCTAAGGGCCCTGCGTTGAAGGGCAGGGCCGGGACTTGGTCTCCCGGGTCTGCCTTCTCCTGGCCCACCAGCCCGCTCGCTCTCTCTCGAGTCCCTGGCAGTCGGGCACCTAGACCCTGAGAACTCAGCTTTCCCCGGGACTCCATTCCTCGCGCCCTTCCCCTCCCACCTCACCACACCCCCAGCGCCAGAACCTCAGGCCTGAGCTTTCTTGCTGGTGTCCCTTCCCTGTGGCCTGCGTTTCCAACAGCAAGGCTAGGTTCGAGCTCTTGGCTCTGATGGGCAGTCCCAGAACCTCCCAGAACCCCTCCAGAGAGGGCATGCTCCTTTTAGCAGGTGCCCCTGACATTGTACTTGCTTCAGAAGCTGGGACGCGGGCCCCTCCTAACCATCTTGCAAAGCTCTGAGGCTGGCTCAGTGTCACTTACGCTAGAGATCACTCCACCCAGCCCCTCCGTGCAGATGAGGAAACAGGCTGGGAGAGGGGATGGCAAGGCCTTACTTAGGACAGAGCCAGGCTCCCTGCTCATGGTCCAGGGCTGGGTCCCCTGCACCGGCTGTGCTCGTGCTTGGAAGGAAGTTCCCTCTTCTCCTCCCACGAGGGATGGCAGTTCCTTTGTCTGATACTGCCTAGAACCTGCCATCCCCTGGGAACAGAACTGAGGTGGGGGCTGTATTTTGGGGGTTTGCTATTTGAGGGTGACGAGGAGACCCCTAGACTCTCGATTCATCTTTTGACATTCCCCCCCAAATGTCATATTCTCATCTTTTGCTGACAAGGGGGGCTTTTGAAAAAAAGCAGTGGTTGGGTTTAGGTTTTCTGAAAGTTGCCCTGGGCATTTCTGAGCCTAAGAGAGCATCATATGCACCAGAAACCTCAGGCTGGGTTCTTCTGGTTGCATTAAAGGGCTTATCAGAGAAAATCTCTGTCCCATTTTTATAAACTCCTCAGGGGATCATTAGGCTGACCAGGAAGGGGGTGGGCTACAAAGGGACACATCCCGAGAGCTGAGTGCAGGGAGCTCTACTAGCAAAGGCTGCTGTGTGCAATGTGCAGAAAGAGGATTCAGACCAAAGTCAGGCCAAACATCTGCAGAAACGGGCACCTGAGTGGTGCCAGATCTGAACCGGGTTCAGTATCGAATTAGATCGATCTGGTCGTACAGTTGCCTAAATTCAAAAAAAAAATCCGCTCATCACTTTGATCCCCCCCACCCCATCCTGCAGTTGGGGCGAGGCCACGCGGACCCTACCCTGGTGGGGGCCCTGGCCCTCCCACTGCCATCTCCTTGCCGTGGGCCGGGACGGGAGCCAGCCGCCCCAGGCCAGTTCTAGGAAGTCTTGGCATAATGCCCCCATGTCAGGGCTGTGTTTTGTTTTGATTCAAATCTGCTGCTTGGGCTTCAGACCCAAAGGGAAGACTTTGTTGCTTTCCCTGCCCTGGGCCGGGCTGCCTCCTCAGCCCGCCCTCCAGATTTGTTGGGGTGGGTGGGGGCGTGCCTCTTCCAAGTCCCTTCCCTAGTCCTCTTGCCTTCCTTTCTGGCTTCCTGTCCCTCAGCTGGGGTTCCCTTAGATCCCAGAGCTGGGGAGGAAGTGCGGTCACAGTGGGCGCACAGCACGGCAGGCTGCTCCCGGCCCCAGCGCTGCTCCCTGGACTCGCAAGGCCACCTGCAGGCGCCGGCAGGAACTGCGCCAGGCGGGGCGCCAGGCCGCCTGACTCCAGTGGGTGCTGCCAGGGTCCCCAGCCCAGTCTGTTTTCCAGTGGCTGGGAGCAGTACCCCCGGGCATCCAGGAAGGAGTTGAGGGGAGGAGTGTAGGCAATGGGGAGAGGCCGTGGTGGGAGTTTGGAGACAGGATCCATGCCCGCCCATGCTTCTGTTTCACTGGGCCAAGCGAGTTAATTCCTACAGACTCAGCCTTCCCATTTGCATAATGGGTACGTGGGATGACATGATCTTCAGGTCTCCCCCAGTTGGGGTAACCAGGACATCTTGGGAAACCCTTGGTCCTAGGCATACCTGGATGGTAGGTCACCCTACTTCTAGTTCTAGCCAACAGGGAGGCCCTGAAATCCCACAGGCTATGGGTTCAAATCCAGGTAACAGCATGTATCCATCTAGAAGGCCACCTGATCCCTCTGAGCCTCAGTTTCCTTGCCTGTAAAATCCTCACTTTGTAGGATTGTTTTGAGGGTGGAATTGGTTGCATTTCAGTACACGCTTAGTGCCCAGCACATACGGGGTGCTTGGTGATGTCTCGATGGGGAGGAGAAAGCTGTGGGAAACAGAAAGATCCGGCCCCGTTTCTGCCACATGCTGGCTGTGTGGCTTTGGACAAGTGAGTTATCCTTTCTGAGCTGCAATTTCTTCATCTGTAAAATGGGAATAATAAGACCAACCTTGCTGAGTTGTAGAGAAGTTGATATAAATTGTCTTGCTTAAAGTAGGGGCTCAAGAAATAGCTGTTAAATGAATGAGGGAAATTGCCAAGATTGGAACATGGGAGGAAAATATCCTTAGTCCCCAGTAATGAAAGCCTGGCATCTTTAAAAATGCACCTTTTAAATTGTTCAAATAATGCGTAGATGCATTTTGCATTTTAAAAGAGTTAAACTCTTTTTGGATAAGGTGAATGTCCCCTTTGGCTACCACCCCTGTCTTTTGTGAGGGCAGCCTTGTAGGTGTGTACGCATTGGGCAGCTGCCCCGCTCCGTCCCCTGGATGGGTCCCTGGAGCCTGGCTTCTGTTCCATCGTGCCCTCTGATGTCACCCCCACAGGCGGGAGACCTTTGACTTTGACGACGACTGTGACAGCCTGACGTGGGAAGAGAACGAGGACACGCTGCTGCTCTGGGAGGATTTTACCAACTGCAACCCAACCATCGACCTGCAGGGCGAGGTGAGCCCGGGGGCTGCGGGCCTGGGGGGCACCTCCTTGCAGTGATCTCTTCTCCCCGTTCTTTCCCTGCAGCCCCCACCACCCAGCTAAATTGTCCCCTGTGTTCTGTTTCCCCAGCAAGAGGAAAACTTGGGAAACTTGATCCATGAGACCGAATCCTTCTTCAAGACGAGAGACAAGGAGTACCAGGAAACGATAGGTCAGATCGAGGTGAGCACTCGGGCCGTGAGCCCACGAGTGAGGCTCTCCTGAGGTCTACGCAGTTGAGACCCCCGGAAATCACATGCCCACAAGGGGAGGGGCAGGACTGGGAGTCAGGAGGCCTACCAATTCCCTGCCTGGCACTGGGCGAGCCACATCCTTCTTAGGGCCTCAGTTTCCTAGTCTGTAAAATGCGGGGTGGTGATCCCTGCCTGCCCCAGAGAGTTTTTAAAAAAAAAATTAGCTGAGATGATGACGATCCCATAATAACCACAGATGACATTTGTGTGACACTGAGTGACACTAGGCACTGAGTATACTCTCCTAGTATCCCTACCTCCACCTACGCAGTAGGGACTGTGTGCCCGTTTTACAGAGGGGAGAGGAGGTTAAAAGAGACCGAGTGACCTGCCCGAGGGCTCACAGCCAAGAGGCAGCATTCGAGTCCAGTGCTCTCTGGCCCCAGGGGCCGTGCATGCGACCACTCGTACAGATGAGAGTTAGTTCCTGCTGCCCCACGCAGGAGAAGGGGAAGCCCAGCACCTTCACCGGAGGAAGGATCATTTGACAGAGGAGAGGGTCGGAAACATGGAAGGGACTCGAGGATTTTTCTAATCGAGTCCGTATAAAGGAGCCCAGACGTGCTGCGTGTGGTGGAGTTATCAGAACTGCGAGGTCTGTCAGGGCAGGCTGCCTCTGGGGTTGCTAAGCAGCCATTCCTCTCTGGCCAGAGACAGTTCTAGAGGGTATGCACCAGTGTGCAGAGAGCAGAGGGCGGCCTCGACGGTGCCCCGACTGAGGCATCGGGGAGGGAGGCTGCTGAGGGTTCTGCTGCGCGGATCACCTGCCCTCATCCTCACTGCCCGTCGGTTCCTCCCAGCTGGAGCTGGCCACAGCCAAGAGCGACATGAACCGCCACCTGCACGAGTACATGGAGATGTGCAGCATGAAGCGCGGCCTGGACGTGCAGATGGAGACCTGCCGCCGGCTCATCAAAGGTTCCGCAGACAGGTACCCGGCCCGTCCTCCTTGGAGGGGAACGTCTGGCGCTGCCGCTTGCAGCCTGGCCACGTTTCATCTTCCCAACCCATCTGTCCATCTGTCCATCCATCCATCCATTGACTACTAGCACACCTGCTATGTGCTAGATGACTTACCTATCTAATCTCTTTAACTCCCACCACGACGCTGCCCCCGCGCCCCCAATTCATCAGATATTGCTCTGTGCAAGGTCACGGGGATCTCCTGCCCTCATGGAGCTTACTCCCCACTTTCTGCTGCCCTGAGGGCAAGGAGGGTGGGCAGAGCGCGCCTCCCCACCGCTGCCGACGAGGGCCCCATTTGTCCGTAGGAAGAGATTCCCCTTCCTTTCCCTTCTTGCAACACGTCCCAGGCAAAACACGAACAGACAGGGCCCCTGCCTTCAGGGGACACACAGCCTTGCTGGGGGACAGACACGCTGACAACAAAATGAGATAGTGCACGGAGAATGCTTGGCGCTAAGCACAGATACATGTGTTGGTTGGCACTGCTCTTGTGGTCGGGGCTGCAGGACTGCGCGTGAGGGACGCAGCTCTGTGGGTGGCGGTGCATGGGGCCTCGGCCTGGCCGGTCATCCCTTTAACTCACCTTTAACTCAACCCCCCAGAACTTGCTGTCGACACCTCCCCTATTGGGGTGGAGGAGCAGACGCGTAGGCAGGTTAAACAGCTTGCCCAAGGCCCCCACCCCGGCTCATCCGAGATGCAGAGCGAGAATTCCAACCTGGTGGTGTTCGCCACCCGGCGCGGCCTCCCTCTGAGCGCTGAGTCATGGGGGGTTTTCTGAGCACCCCCTCTGTGTCCAGACCTGTGTTAGGTGATTGGAGGGTCAGAACCAAGCTGGGTCCATGGTCTCTACTCCCCAGGAGCTTTCTGTCTAGCAGAGCCAACACACCCAGACCAATTAGAGGCTGGGGCAGGGGGTCCCAAGAGGCCCGGAGAACCACATTCAACCCGTGAGCCTAAAGGATTCCAAGGGAAGCCGAGCGGGGGAGGGCAGGGTCTCGGGGCAGGACTCCCCACTACCCCCCAGGGTGGCTATGACGGGAGTGGCTCAGCCTTCCCGCTCCTTGGCCCCTCGGGGCTCCGGGCTGTTCTCTGAGTGTCCCCATCCTCCTGTGCCTTCCAGGGACTCACCGTCCCCCAGCTCCGTGGCCAGCAGCGACTCAGGAAGCACAGACGAGATCCAGGATGAGTTCGAGCGGGAGGCAGACGTGGAGCCCATGGTCAGCTGATGACCGAGGCCACGCGCGCCTGGTGGTCTTGGTGATGGGGCCCCTGCCCCTCTCCCCACGGGGCCAGGAGGGCTCCTCGGAGCGGGGCTCCAGTCCTCCCCACACAGACTTCCTACACCCTCCCTTCTCTGGAGGCCCCGAGGGACCGACTGCTGCTTCCTTCCTTCCTTCCACCGCCCACCACCAACCGACCCTTCTCCACCCACCCACCCACCCACCCAGGAATGGTGCTGTCAATTTCTATTGTTCTCCACATCACAAATGCAGACTTCTGTCCGGACGATGCAGTGTTAACGGTGCCTTCTCCCTTAAGCTGAGCCACTTTGAGCTCCAAAGAATTATTCCTAGCAGGTGTTTTTATACAAAACTCTAAGGCGAGGGCCGGGGCCAGGCGAGGTGTGATGCGGTTTTCTACCCTCCCACCTGCTCCTCTGATTGGCGGAGAGCTGTGCCCTCCCTTCCTCTGCGGCCATCGCGGACCGACCTGGGGCTCGGGGTGGTCACCTCCCCCTGGGGAGGGGCTGTTTGCCTCTGCGACCTTTCCAGGCCTGGGTGGGGACGTCCCAAATTTTCTCAGTCTCTGAAAGAGAAGGGTGGAAGGAAGGGAGGGAAGACAAATTTTTATTTTCTTTTTGGATCGAGTGGCAAAGTGGGGGACAAGGCACTGTGAGGGGGAAGGTGGAGCCTCACTGTGTTTAAACTACTATGCAAAAAACAAAACAAAAAAAAGCAGCTTGCCTTATACCATTGTGGAAGGCGGGCCCTCCCCCAGGCTCCCGGTTTCCCTCCAGGCTGGGCGAGGGCCCAGGGTAGGGGGGTCTCTCTTGCAGCTGCGAGGGTGGGCACTGACTGGCGCCTGACTGCTTGTTCTCGTTGGGGCCTCCGTGGGGTGGGGGTGGGGGTCTTTTGTTGCTGCGATGACTCGATGTTCTTCCCTCCAGCTAGCAGTACGGGGGTTCTAGATCTGTAATTTCTCTGTGAGAAAGTCTGAAGGGGCCAGGCCTGGTCTTTGCTCCCTTCTCCTGGCCTCCGGTCAGGGCCGGCCGGGTTCTCCACTGTCCCACTGTCCGGCCACTGGGAGGAACGAGGCATTGGCAAGGGGAGGGGAGGGAGGCAGGAGGGCGCTCGCTTGGGTGGGGACAGTCGCAAGCCTCTCTGCATAATCCACTCGACTGACCAGCTGGGGAGTTAATCTGAGCCAGTATCTCCCCAGGGCTTGAGTGGGCCCAAGTTGCAGGGCGCTGTGTGGAGACCACCCACCAAATCTCAGCTTGGAGCCAGCCGAGCAGGCTTTGCTTTCTTATTAGTTTTTAGATGTTTTGTGCCCACTGCAGTGGGGCCGATGGCTGATTTTCATTTTTTTTTGTTGGCCCAGGAGCTCCCTCTGGTGGTCACAGGAGCAAAATGTGCCCAAGGACCAGAACTCGCTACCCACTGCCTCTTCCCCAGGCAGAGGAAGGGGCCCTGGGTTTGAGTGGGATCGTGGACCTTTAAGGGCCTTCTCTCTCTTCCGTTTCCCCCACCTGTTTTATGGTCTTAAAAATACTGTGCATAATACTCATATATGTATAGTGAGAGAAAGTGAGAATGTGTTAGTGACTGTGCGTGATGTAATTTATCAGAATTTGGTGGCCTTCATCATGAGTTTTTTCCTTTGTTTTGTTTTGCTGGGGGAACGTCCCATTGGTCCCCTGTGGCAATCTGGCTGCGAGGCTTCCATGGTCAGCATCCCTTGTCAGCCAAACAGTCCCTTCTGGCAGGTACTTGGAGGGACGATGGTTTTGGAAGAGAGACAGCTCCTTTCTCTCCTCCTCACCGACCCTTGTTCTAAAGGTTACAGGGTTCAAACGTACCTGATTTTTATTGTTATTGTTGTTTTATTATTTTTATTTGAACCAAAGGTTAACAGAGCCAGTCGGGCTTGGACCTCAGCTGCTGAAAAGGTTTTCCGTTTCCACGAGGGCAGGAGAGTGTCCGCCCCTGTGGGTCCCCCCTGTCCAGGGCTGAAGGCAGCATGGAACTGTGTGTGGTTTGGGAGTTGGGCGGGTGCAGCGGAAGCCGGCCTTGGGTGTTCCTCAAGGTGGCGGGAGGGTGACAGACATATTTTTAGAGTTAGGACAGTGAGGCAGTGCTAAGAGTTTGAAGGTAACTAAGGTTACCATGGTGATTGGTGTCTGGCGGTATTATTTTTGTTTACCCCCTGTATACATAGGTCATTTGTCTTTGGGGATGAGGGTGCTCTGAATTTGCCTGGGGAGTTTGAAAGCGGCAGGAGCCAGAGAGAGACACCGGCTTGAGAGTGCTGGCTTTCAGTAGCCGCCCTCCCCTTGGGAGCAAGGACTTGGGGCAGGCGGTTGGGGCAGGAGAGCACGGGTGCGACCGGCCTGCCCCCTGGGCTGGTTCCTGGGTCTGGCCTGGCTGCCCGTGTCCCCACCGTGTGCTTTTTCCAGTTAGCTGCCAGTGGGCCCTGCTTGTCCCTTTGCCATGAGCCCACAGCTTGCCAAGAAAGACTCCAATGCTTGCTGGGGTAGCACCGGGCCCAGCTGGGACGAATTGGCCCGTCCTCTGTAAAGCTGTAAATACTTGATTTTGATTTTCTATATCTAAGCCCAGTGTCATATTGACATTGGTATTTTAGAATTGTTCTCAGATGGGCCCTCCTGTGCTGTCCTCTCTCACTCTCCTACTTTTGGGGGTTTTATGTAGAGGACTGGGGAGGGGCAGGGAGAGCAGCGTCCTTTTGGCTCCCTGGTTCGTTGTGAAATTCACACATACACTCACTCCTCTGGGACTCTGAACAGGGAAAAATACTATTGGCGAGAAAACATATTTGGTTTTCCTGTGGCAATGTGTCTTGAGGTCTCTGAGGCACCAGACCATCATGGGCTTAGCTCTGTGGTAGAGCTCAGATGGCCTAGGGAGAATCAAACCACTCTGGCTTGGGATGGGAGGAGAGGGGCAGGGTAGGGGATAATATAAGGTGTAACTTAAGCTAAATATAATCTATTTATAAAGCAAGAGACTCTCATCTATTTTTATGAAAGGCAAGGTTTTTTAAATCTATGGTAGGCAGTTGTGGGAGCCCAGCGTTTTTCCACGGACAAGATAGGGTGCATGTTGCCGCAGGATTGAATATAATCGGCACCCTTCCCCCGTCTCGTCTTCCGTCCTCACTTCTGGTCATCCACACCCGTGAGCAGCTTCAGCAGAGCGTGGGTCCCACGTCACCTCATTTCCCTCTCCCCTGACACCTCAGCTCCTTGGAAGTCTTGGAGGGGCACTTGTGGGGGCAGGTGGGCTGTGGGAATTCAGAATTGAGGTGGCCATGGGGAGGGAATGGGGGCATTAGGCAGGGGCGAGCTCTGCTGCGGAGGGTGGGCTCTAATTCGTTACTCTAACTCTGATCTGCCAAGATCCATTTCCAACTCGGCTGTGTTGGGAGAGGGTTGAGAGGCCGCAGAGCGTGGGTGGCAATGGGGCTGTCGGGTCCTCCCCTGTGAGACACCGGACTCTCACTCTAGAGGGATACTCTGCTAGAGTGGGGAGTGTGCAGGTGGCCGGGGGGGTACGTGTAAAGCCAGATTCTCCCTGGAAAAGAATCTTCCATGAGCGGAGGATTCCCGAGCCCAGGGTGGGCTGCGTGTTAGTCTTGGGCAAATCCTTCACCACGCCCCTCCTTCCCAAGCCCTCAAAGAAATGAGGCAAAGCCCTCCTCCCCACAAGACCCCTCTGTGGACATTTTAGCATCTACCTGATTTTTAGCCCCATCCAGGGAGACTTTATATCCCATGGTTCCATCCCACCCTACTGTTGCCGTTTGTCTGCCAGCTGGGTCTAGCATCACCGGGAAGCGGGGTTTATACTCACTGAGACTACTGATCCTACCGGAAACCAACCTGTTTACTGTACTGTTGTAAATATCATGCCCTTTATATCCTGTATATTGGCTTCTTTTAAATAAAGTGAAATGTCTTAGAATTGATGGTATTTGTTTTTTTTTTAATTGAGGATGAACCTGGTGCTGGGGGAGGGGTAAGAGGATTGGGGCCATACAGACACTACAATAAACTCTTTAGCTAATTAGTGATAACATAGGGAAATCTCACATCACCTGTTACATTCGTATCTCACAATAAAATCTTTGGAAGAAGATAAAGCAGGAATTATTACACACATTTGACCGAAGGGGAGGAGAGAGCCATAGAGATCACAAGCTGAGTAACTGGCATAGCCTGGTTTGGAACTCAGGTCCTTAAAACCACAACAAAGCCCCCATTTCCCAAGCCTCTCCACTGCGCCCACAAGAGGCCACCCCCCAGGGCTCTGGGTTTGATACTGTCCAGTGCTCTAGTCTTCTTGTTAATGCCACATTCAGGACAACATTGCCCCAGTGTGAACGGGGCCCACCTGACCAGGGTCTTCTTCAAGGATGAAAACAAACAGCCACAGTAATTCCAGTTTGTGTTTTGCCATTTGTAAGTCTTGCACTTACATAGTTCCCGTTTCCTGTCTTAAGTGGTGTAATCTAGAGGAAAAGGAGTGGCCTGAGATGATGGGGGCATTCTGAGGCGGGTTATTATTACCTCCATTTTACAGATGAGGAAACTGAGGCCTGGAGAAGTTATGTAATGTGCCCAGTGTCCTATGGAGGAACTGGAATCCGCATCAGAACTGCCTCCTGAGCAGGTGCTAGGCTCAGGCTGCTAGAGGAAGTACAAATTAGAACAGAGGGTGAGAAAAACCATAATAGCACTTCGGGAGTAAACTGTGCCCGGAGATCTCATCAGAGAAGACCTAAGAATCCAAGTTTTCAATAACGTTCGCGTGTTCACTAAAGCAAACAACTGCTCGCAGAGAAAACTGAAATTTTCAGACGGGGGGAAAAAAGCTCAGGAACAGCTGGTTTTTCGGCCAGAGGCTTTGAAGGAAAACCAAGCATGGGCGGCTCGCGTTTTAGCTTGTGCTGATGGTAATCAGCCAAGGGGCAGGCCGGGGAGCGGGCCCCGCGCCAGGCCGGGCGGTGAAGGGAGGCTGCCCGGCCAGGAAGGGGCAAGGCAGGCTCGGCCCAGGGCCCGCGGGCCTCGGTGGAAGCGGGGTCGGGGCTGGGCCGCGGTGTGACTTGCGGGGTCGCGGAGCCTGGCAAAGGGCAGGTTTCCAGCCCACCGGTCCCGCAGCCGGGGAGCAGGCAGCCGGGCGTCCGCTGCACCTGGCGCGCCCAGGGCCCTCCCGGCGTTCTCATTGGCTCTTTCGGCCCCTCTCTCTCCGGCCTAGAAAGGCAGCA